ACATTACAGAAAGCACCATCAGATCACAGGAGATGTCTGGCGTGGGTTTTCATGGCAAGAGAAGAGCAGAGATGGTTTGCCATGGCCAGGACTCTTTTTGTAGAAAAAGCCCAGCAGGAACTCATTAGCATAACAGGCCAAACCCAACAGCAGAAACTCATTAGCATATTAGGCCACACACACCCTGACAGCACAGCTCATTAGCACATTAGGCCGCACCCCCATGTTACCAGAAGTGTGGTCATCCAGCCACACCCACCTTTTGCTTCTTATTCTGTTTACCTTGTTTGTTGTCAAAACCCCAGGGCCTTTTTTGTAGCAGGAACTCCTTTGCACGTTAGGCCACACACCCCTAATGTAGCCAATCCTAATGAGTTTCTGCTGTTGGGCGTGGCCTGTTATGCTAATGAGTTCCTGGTGGGCGTGGCCAAGTCGGGAGCCAGCCGGAACTCCGTTCCTGTGCGTTCCTGCCCAAAAATAGCCCTGGCCATGGCCTGCCTCTGTATAGCAACCTTGGAGCTCCTTGGTGGCTCTCCCATCCTGGTCAGGGCTGACCCTGCTTAGTCTCCAAAATCTGATGAGATCGAGCTAGCCCGAGCCCTCCAAATTAGAGCAGATGAACATCGGCGGTTGGCCATGGCCTGCCTCTGCATAGCGACCCTGAACCTCCTTGGGGGTCGCCCGTCTAAGCACTAACCAGGGCCGGCCCTGCTTATCTCCTGAGATCTGATGAGACAAGATGAGCCTGGGCCATCCATGACCCAAAACTGAGACTTGGGGGAGGACGGGCACAAAGCATGGGCCCCACACCCACCCACAAGCAGTTGGTGGCACATGGGCATGGAGTCTATGCACATGGGGAAGCACGCAAACACAGGCTCTAACCCTGTTCAGTAATTTTGACTTTGGTACCCCATCCTCATAGGAGACTGCGCCACCTATGATCCTCCCAATGCATGAAAACCAGGGCTTCCGGTATTGAGAGGAGAAACACACAGAGGAGGAGGAGGAGGAGAAGAAGAAGAGGAGGAGGAGGAGGAAGAGGAAGAGGAGGAGATTGGATTTATACCCCGCCCTTCACTACCCAAGGGAGTCTCGGAGCGGCTTACAAACTCCTTTCCCTTCCCCTCCCCACAGCAGACACCCTGTGAGGCAGGTGCGGCTGAGAGAGCTCTGACAGAAACGGCTCTTTTTCAAGAACAGCTGTGCCAGAACTATGGCTTGCTCAAGGTCATCCAGCAGCTGCAAGCAGAGGAGTGGGGAATCAAACGCGGTTCTCCCAGATTAGAGTCTGCGCACTTCACCACTACACCAAATTGGCTCTAGAGGGCTATTCAGTTGGATCCTGACAACCGAATAAGGCTCCTCTGATCCGGAACATTGAAAAAACAACATCCTTCGCCATGGGGTAAGGAGCACACAGGCATCTACTTCCTACGTGCCTCAAAATTACATGGTCTTTTTTTTGTTCATGGATTTTTGCCTGTCAGCCAGAGCACTGCTAGCTCCTTTTTGCAAAAATCTGTTATGTTCCAGCACACTCTTCTGGCAATGTTTAAAATTTCAGGCAGGCACCTTTCGTTGTCGGAGCCAAGGACACAAATGATGAAAACCGGGCTTCTGAACCCGATCGAAAATCCAGAGATGAGAACAGTTCCATCTCCAGCATCCCCAGTTAAAAGATCTCCAGTAGCAGGGATGGGGGAAACACTCTTCTGAGAGAGACTGTCAATAGACAATACCAGGGCTTTTTTTGTAGAAAAAGCCCAGCAGGAACTAATTAGCATAATAGGCCACACTCAACAGCAGAACCCCATTAGCATATTAGGCCACACCCCTGATAGTACAGCTCATTAGCCTATTAGGCAATACCCCCATGTTACTAGAAGTGTGGTCATTCAGCCACACCCACCTTTTGCTTCTTATTCTGTTTACCTTGTTTGTGGTCAAAACCCAGGGCCTTTTTTTGTAGCAGGAACTCCTTTGCATGTTAGGCCACACACGCCTACTGTAGCCAATCCTAATGAGTTCCTGCTGTTGGGTGTGGCCTATTATGCTAATGAG